CTTGGAATGTTTTCATCCCAAAGATCATCAGACTGAAGACCATTCAGGATAGCTTGAAGGAGTTTTTTGTCCTTCTCCATGTCCAAATTCTCTTGCTTAGCAACTTCGAATCCTTAGTAGGAGTTGAGTGAGTAATGCTACACCAACTCCTGTGAAAACAAAAGTACACCAAAAAATATATGCACACCAAGGAACTGGAGAGATAGCCATCTGAACCAGAAGCGCTTTGGTAATTCTCCTGGCTCATCTCCTTGGACCTGGAAGCCCACTTGGTGCAGGTCTTGTCAAAGGAAAAGGCTTGAAGCATCTCACCTTTTTGGTCATCAAAATGAGAAAGCCCGCAATATTCTTGCCAAAACTTTTGCTTGGCCTCAAGCTCTTGCATCTCCTGGTCTGAGACTTTGACATCTCCTTGCTTGACTTTTTGCAGCTTGAGGCTAGCATTCTTGAGTTGGCCTACCATATTTGCTTGTCTCTTCTTTTTGTCATCAGCCTCACTGGCCTGAGCCTTGGCCTTGGCCTTGCCCTTGGCTGCTGCAGCTTGGGCTTTGGAAGGTTTGCTGGAAGAGGCTTTAGGAGCCATCATTCCTACCATACTAAAGCTCATCAGCAAAGAGAGCAGGAACATGGTGCTAGCTCAACTTGGTCGCAGAATCACCTGTATCTTGATAGTCAAAAGCTGCGCTACCAAAATCTTTGGCAGAGAATGCACTAATGAAGAAACCAAGCAAAAGCTATTGGAAATGATATTTGAAATGTATTGTTTCCAAAAGGAATGTAGTGCACAATCCTCAAACCTTGTGTTGTTCACCTAAAATGAAATCAAAATAGTTCATGGCCACAAACTTGTATATATTTAACTTCATTTAACTTCATTTAACTTGGAAAATGAAAGCATTTCCAATTAAAATGTGAAAACCAGCCCAAGTTAAATTAACTTCATTTAACTTGGCCATTTAATTGGAAATGCTTTCATTGTCCAAGTTAAATTAACTTCATTTAACTTACCATAAGTTAAATTAACTTCATTTAACTTACCAAAATGAAAGCATTTCCAATTAAATGTATAAGTTAAATGAAGTTAAATGGACCAAGTTAAATGAAGTTAAATGAAGTTAAATGGTTGGTGTTTGTAGAAGCCCTAAATTATTTATATACCTCCTAATCCCAGGAGTTTTTTTTAACATATCAACCAGTGATTATTGACCTCCTAGTTCAGGAGGTATTATTTTTTGTAGCTCCTGCCCAACAAGGAGCTTTATCATCCATCCCCACCCAGCAGCAAAGCAACACCTTTTTTCAAGCTGAGATGGCTTTGGAAGATATGTGAGAAGATATTCACTTCTCAGCATCTTTGGCCCCAGGCTCTGGCTTAGGCTCCTCGTTGGGAGATTCATCAACCTCATCGGCAGCCTGATTGGGAGGTTTAGGGGGAGCGCCCCCCCCATTGGCAGCTGGTGCAGGCACTTCTTCCGGTTTGGGCACAGCAGGAGATGGGCCATCACCTCCTATGCATACATGAGCATTGACCATGAATATTTTATTTATCATAAACCTAGTGATTTATACTTTATTTCTCTATGTATGACCTTTAGCCTCTGTAGTTACATACCATTTAAGGAGGCAGTCCTCCTGACAAATCCACAGTCTTGGGCTTCTTATCAGCTGGCTCATCTTGCTTTGTGACCTCCTCCCCCTTTGGCACATACTTCCACTGGGTTGAACACCAGACCATGCCCTTCTTCTCCATCTTGTCCATCCAATACTGGTTGGCCTGGCGCTTTTGACCTGCAGGGGCTAAGGAGACATGCTATGATAATCTGGCTAATCATATCTACATATGTTTTTTCTCTAAACATGTTACTTCTGAGGATGCTCCTGAATGGCTAAAGGAGCATCCTATAGTATTACAGAAGTTAACTACCTACCTCGGTTCTTCTGCTTCTTGTATGATCCCTCAATGAGCTGCTGCTGGTTCCACTCCCCTCCCCACTGCTTGAGGGCATTCAAATCAGCATGGCCATACCAGGCCAAAGCCTCAGTTGACAGGGGGCTGGTGAATGATATGTGATACCTTCCCATGACATTCTATACCATGCTTCAGGGGGAACCCATAGCAAAATCTAAGCAAGATAAACCAAGGAACACAGAAGGGGTTCAAACAACAGTTCTTGCGCCAGTAAGACTGCTCTCCACATCGTAGGCATGTACGCAAATAAATCTCATCACCTCCTATGCAAGGGCTTGCTTGAGGAGGAAATTATGTTTAAACAGATATGTATTATAACCAAGAGTCCTGAAGGAACTTCCATGGGTGGTTGCGGTGGAAATTGAGGTTCAGGAACTGGATCAGGATCACCTAGGCATGCTGCACAGGGGACCCTTGGAATGCATATGTAAATTTATATTATTACCTAGTTGTTTTTGGTACAATCAACCCAGTAACCACTACAAAAAAATTCACAACCCAGAAACTGACATGCAAGGACTTCGGGTTCACTGTAGCAGGTTGCCCTCCTGAAGGAGGAGGAGGCAAAGGGACATTGTGCCATGGTGCTCCCCCAGAAGGAGCAGGTGCTCCTGAAGCCTTACTCATTGCAGGGGCCAAAGGCTGCTGCTGCTGCGGCTGATTCAGCACTGTCTGCATCATAAGGTTCTGGTTCTGGATCATGTTGAGCAACTGCCTCAGGGCTGCAGGAGTCCAAAAACTCCTATAGTATTTGTTGCAGGAGACTCCTTTAGTATGTATTGCAGGAGTCCAAAAAATACTATAGTAACTATAGTATTTATTGTTATAAACCCTAGATTTGCAACCACAATACTGGATCACTTCATCAGCAGGGGTTCGAGTAGAGGAAGAAGACTGGTTAGCTCCCATTATTACCAAAGGTCGACACAAATTTCAATCAAACAAAGCTTGAGCCTGATTGCTGCCAAAAAAACATGTTAAAAACACACACACACACAGACCTCACAGGGCTGCACCAAAGGAAACTGGTGGATCTGCAAGCTGACTAACATGAAGCACCCTACAGCTGCACCTCCTGATTTACTTAGAGGAGGTCACCTCCTGATTTACTTAGAGGAGGTTTTGAAATAATAAAAAACACTTCAACCATTGCTACACTCCTGCAAACAAAGGAGCTTTATAGATCTCATGTCCAACCCCCCCTCCCCACCTAAGACAAAACAAACCCTGTCTCCAGCTTGCATGCTTGTTTGTGACCACTGAGTGGGCAAGGCTGCACCTGAAAGCATCTACTGAGGAAACAAAGTTTTGATGTTCCTAGCTTGAGACCAAGTGAAACGGTGATCCTCTATGTATTTCATAGCTTTGACAGCCTTATCATAATGATCAGGTCCATCATGGGTCAAATAGTACTGTACAATCAGCTGCTTCTTGTGATCTTTGACACTGGCAAGCTTGGATGTAGGTTCGCTCTGGTTCACTAGCTCTGGTTTTGGAAATGCAATGCAAGGGCACCTCATTTGACACAGAGGCTGCAGGTTCTGCAATTGCCTCAGGCTCCTCAGGTTCTGCAACTGCATCCAGGGCCAAGGATGCTGCAGGCTTCTTCAAAGCTGCAGAGGCTGGCCTTTTCATCGGTTTGGAAACAATGTGCAATGCCAGGTTGGGAGTATCTGACTCACACTGCTCCTCATTGCCAAATTGGTACAGCAAAAAGCCTTTGTCCCCAGGAACACATTGGGCTTCCAATGTCTCACCATTGGCTAGCTGCCTCTTCATGACACCCTTCTCCTGGTCGAAGAATTGCAAAAGCACAGCAGCAGTGTCTCCATTCTGGTGTTCAGGAGCTACTTCCATGTCTGCAACAGGAGAGGCATTCCCCTCCTGAGAAGAAGAATCCACTGCAAACACTTGGGATTTCATGGCTCTCCTTTTGGAAGGTGGGCTCACTCCATAAAGCTCATAGGGATTCACTTTGCTACTGCTGCTAGCTTCAGCTTTGCTGCTGCTGGCAGACTGAGCAGCCTCTGTCACAGGCAAAGAAGCTTGGGAAAATGAACGCTTGGGAGCAGCAACTTGGTGACTGGAAGGCTCCAGGTGATCCCATTTAGACATGGCATCCATCACCCTTTTGACAGCAGGATGGGTTTTGGCACCACTGGTGGTGCTCTTTTTTTTACTTCTGCATTCAACCAAAGCAGAAGCCAGTTGCCTGCCAAAATATTTCGCTTCATCCACACTGGTGCCCTCAAAGGTCTTCAAGACAGCAGTCTGCAAAAGAGTTTTGTTGACCCTGGGTGTCTTTGACAGCAAGGCCAGCAAAAAACTCTCATAGGAAGCTACCACCATGGCAAAGTTCGTGTCTTTGTAGCCATCTCCCAAGCTGGTACAATTCTCCCTTAGGAGCTTGTTGACATCTTCCTGGCTGCAGGAAGTGGATGCTCTGCCAAGTTTCCCTTGGCCAGACATGGTGACACACAGCTGGCCTAAAGCTTGGGAAAGAAAAGGCTCCAACATGTATTCCTTGGCCTGGCTAAACACAAATTCCACACAAACTTGCACAGCTCACAGCCAGGAGCTCCTGACATGACACAAGGAGCTCCTATGAGTCATTATCAACAAGAAAACTATATTTGTTATGTAGAAAACATACCCTTGAAAACCCT